AAAAAACGACGTTTATCATTTTTTTTTGTTTTTGTTTTTACAACGTTTGTCATCTTTTTTTTGTTTTTTTTTTTTACAACGTTTGTCATTTTTTTTTTTTTTTTTTTTTTTACAACTTTTTTTTTTTTTTTTTTTTTTTTTTTTTTTTTTTAATTTTTTTTTTTTTTTTTTTTACAACGTTTTTTTTTTTTTTTTTTTTTACCTGTCGGCTGTTCAGATCTTCGTATCGTATTTTGTGTATTCCCTTTTCTTTCCCTACTTTTTTTGGCCTAAAACGGAATCTTGTGTATTCCTGGTTGGGAAAGAGTTTTGCTCTTTTATATATCCCTGATTTGATAAGATGTGGTATCTTTCAATATATCCTGATTGGATTAGAGTTTTTTTGTCTTTTCTGTTCCTGATTGGCTACGATTTTTCATTTTTTTATATTCCTGATTGGATTAGATTTTTTATCTTGCTTTTTTTTTTTCAAAAAGCTAATTCTTTATCTTTTCTTTATATCCCTGACTGGATTACATTTTTTATCTTTACTTTTTCTGAGTCAGATCCCGATCATACCATCTCTAGTGCAACTAACCCCTCTCAGGACTTCTTGTGGTTCTGATCGCAGGGTGGAATTCCTCATTCCCTCCCCTCCCCTCCCCTCCTGAAGTTTTCAAAGAAAAAAAAAGAAACAAAAGAGAGAGGAAAAAAAGGAGAGGATTGTATATCCCTGAAGTTTTAAAAACAAAAACGAAAAAAAATATTTAAAAAAAAAAAAAAAAAAAGAGAGGGGGGATGGGAGAGGGAAAAAAAGGGAGAAGAAGAAGAAGGGAGCGGATTGTAAATCCGTTGAAAATTGCCCACGCTGGATTTTTTTTTTTTTTTTTTTTTTTGAATCAAAACAGAACAGTTATATTCCAAATTGTGAACGAGGCCGGGGACCTCACAATTCTACCCGGAGTTATCCTGGCAGCGTCAGCCAGTTTAGCTTACAGTCAATAGACTGGAAAAGCATCAACAGACTTGCAACAGTCTCTCGATCAAACAATGCGCACAGTTCTTGCCTCTGCTTTGAACGTGTAGCCTGCTTTAACTGCTACCACTCTCACTCTTGTAGTACCTAGCTCACGAAGGCCGTCTCTGAGGAAAACTCTAGTCTGCAGTAATATCTCTCCAGCCCACACACAAAACCTTCTTTCCTTGATCCGGATATTAGTATCCTCACTACTGGGCCTAAAGCAGCCCTGGGACTAACCGGACCCATTGGAGCCAGTCCTCCTATCTTGACACTCTCCTACATGGTCCACTGTGACAATATTTTAAAAAACGCTACGCCAAAAAATATAAATACATCAATAGGCAAACAGGTCTCAGGTTCAAAAAAGACGAGAAAAAGAAAGAGACCAAAAAAAAAGAAAAAGAATCAATACGCAAACGGCTCTTTAGGCTCATCTCTCTTTCCTTTTGAGGATATACATATATATCGTCAAACAGAACTGCCTACGGTAAACCGTAGGCAGAGAGGGACAAGAGGGAGAAGAGGACAACAAACGAGGGGCTGTGACAAAAACTCTTTCGTTGGGGCTTCACCAACTCATCAGGAGGCTGAACCCTCATCACCCTCATATATATATATGATATTATTGCATAATATCTATAGATAATATATCTATATATCGTCACAAACAGAACTGCCCGGTAAAACCGTAGGCACAGAGAGAGAAGAGGACAACAAACGAGGGGCTGTGACAAACTGTTTCGTCGGAGTTTCACCGACTCATCAGGAGGCTGAACCCTATA